AGGCAGGCAGGCGGGCATAATATATAACTGAGGTGATATGAATAAAGCAATTGGCACTTTCTAAAGGATACTTACATATCATCATCTCAACCATTCAATGATTGGTTTGGCTTGAGTAGAACCTGTCCTCCAGAAAAACACTTCTGAGCACCTATCCAGGTAACTTCCTTCTCTAGCATCCCAGAGCCACCAGGCTCACCTTGCACATCTCCAGTGTCAAGGGACTCCCTTCCTCCCAAAATTTCCCCATCACACTGTCCTGTCCTACCGGGGTGTGGCTCCATTCCTTGACACATCACTCGGGAACTGTACGGCCTTCGATAAGTCACTTTTCCTCTCTGGGCTTGTGGGCCTGATCTGTGAAGTATTTTGGGGAATCTTCCACCCTAGAATTGGCTGGTCTCTTTGACTTTTTGGGTGTATCCTAATGATTTAGGAAGTTGGATGTATGCTTAGATGAGGGTCTATTTGAACACTGGGAGGAAAATGGCGGTTTGTGTGTGAAAATGGTGGTTTAATTTTCAGAAAAGTGTCTAGTCTGTTGATTTGGCTCCATCCCTAAGTCGTTAGGATACCCTATCAAGGAACATAGGAAAACCCTTTCACTCTCAGTGGGGCCTGCCTCTCAAGTCAAATGTGCCATCTCATTCTGAATTCCAGAAGCTTATTTTTGACTCTACTATTATTCACCGTTATTATCAACTATATTATTAACTCTTGTTATTATTAACTCTACCTTTCTTCTTGCATTTCTTTTATAAAGTGCTAATCTCCTGATATTATAATTATTCCCATTTTATGGTTGAGGAGACTTTCAGAGGTTCAGTAACTTTTCCGGAGTTGGACAGAGAGAAAGTGAAGTGGCCAGGACCGGAACCATTTACAATGGTCATTAGTGCCCACTCTCCTGAGGTCCCTCACTTCCTTCCACAGACCATTTCTCCCACATCCTAGGCCTATCCCCCACCCCAGGGGGGAGAGGAGCACAGGCGAGCAAACAGAAAGAAGAGACAACTGGCAGCCCGTGTTTTATTGGACAGCAAGAACCAGCTACTCATATTTACTCTTGGGGACCGGCGGAGGTTTCAATGCATAGGAGAGACAGCACAGGGACGCATCCGGGCACAGGTGCATGTAAGTTTCTTGCCTTGTGCAGTAAGTTCGGCAGGCCCCTTGGCCCTTCCAGCACCGTTTGAATTCACTTCTCCCTAAGCAGAGGAAGACCATAGGTCACAGAGCAGCCCAAGGGTCACAGGTTAGACCACTGGTCACAAGTTAGGCCACAGATTCACTAACACTGGTCACAAGTTAGCTCTCTGGTCATTTGTTAGATCACTAGTCATAGATGAGAGTACTGATTACAATTTAGGTTAGACCACATGTCATAGGTTAGACCATTAGTTACAAATTGCAGACTAAGGCCAGGCACGGTGGCTTACACCTGTAATCCCAGCACTTTGGAAGGCTGAGGCAGGCAGATCACCTGAGGTCAGGAGTTTGAGAACAGCCTGGCCAACATGGCAAAACTTCTCTACCAAAAATAGAAAAATTAGCCGGGTGTGTTGTCACGTGCCTTTAGTCCCAGCTACACAGGAGACTGAGGCAGGATAATCGCTTGAACCCAGGAGGAGGAGATTGCAATGAGCCACAATTGTGCCACTGCACTCCAGCCTGGGTGACAGAGGGAGACTCCATCTCAAATAAATAAATAGAGACTAATTTCCTGACCGGGTGAAACAACACACCAAGTACACATAAGCACTTTTCATAACACTATACAATTAGAGTCTTATTACAATTCCTACTATACAGGTAAGGAAACTGAGGCTCAGTGAGGTTAATAATCTTCTCTAGCTGGGCACAGTGGCTCACACCTGTAATCCCAGCACTTTGGGAGGCTGAGGCGGGTGGATCACCTGAGGTCAGGAGTTCAAGACCAGCCAGGCCAACATAGCGAAACCCCATCTCTACTAGAAATATAAAAATTAGCTAGGCATGGTGGCAGGTGCCTGTAATCCCAGCCACTTGGGGGACTGAGGCAGGAGAATCGCTTGAACCCAGCGCAGCTCAGCTCACTGCAGCCTTGGCAACAAAGTAAGACTCCATCTCAAAAAAAAAGAAAAATTAAATATAAAATATAACCTTATCCAAGGTCATACCGCCATTCAGGAGCAGAACTAGGACTCAAACCCAAGCAATCCGGCTCCAGAGTCCACACCCATTACAGGAACTGCCCCTGACACATAGGGACTTATTTAATGTTAGGTTTTAGTGAAGGAATTTCCAACCATGGGCCATGGAAAAGTAAGGCTTTGGGGAATAGGTCCTTTGCTCCCTCCAAGGGTCTTTGGTCACAACATGGGATGCAGCCTGTCCTTCATTTATTCACTCAATAAAGACGGAGCACTAGAAGTACTACAATGAACAATATGGTCATGGTCCCTGCCCTCAAAAAAAACAAGCAAATAAATACAAGAAATAGATTCTGTGGTAACTGCCACATTGGAAATGATGAGGGTACTGTGATGGTCAGTTAAAACCGATGTGGGAAGTGAGGGGAGACTAGGACCATGTAGACAAGCTTGACTGTTAAATGACATTTCCAGACATACAACCTCAGACAAGCAGAGAGCAAGCAGCCCAGAAGAATTAGCACTGAATGGGAGGTGGAGGGGAAAGGCTTCCCTGAATCTCTGTGGATTAAAATACATCCCATGTAATCCTCAAATGATGCCTTGGGCATATCCGCAGGTTTTATTCAGCCTGCCGAGCAGTCCACACTTCCCTCTTGCTAAAGTAGAGAATCTTAGAATGATACGGTACTGGCCTCAAAATTTCCATGAGGCAAAGAATACACCCTCTGAAGACAGTGTGTAGTATAATCGCTAACAGTGTGGTGTGAACCCAGCTCAGACCTCCTGGGTCTAAATCCCAGCTCAGTCATTTCCCATTGAGTGACCTTGGCCTCAGTTCTTCATCTGTACAACTCTCCTTCAGAGCACAGATAAGGATCACGTTAGCACAGTGCCTGGCATATAGTAAATGCTCAATAAATAGGAGGCAAGATTATCAGTATGATAGCTTAGATTGCTGGAACAACCAGGACCCATTCTAGGTAAATCCTCTCACTTACCAGTAAAGAGAGGAATGAACTTGCCCAAGCTCCCATAGCCACTAAGTGGTGGGTCTGGAACCAGAACCCGAGACATTAGCTCCCAGGTGAGGACACTTTCTATAATAATTTTTTTTTTTTTTGAGACAGGGTCTCACTCTGTTGCCCAGGCTGGAGTGCAGTAGTGCAATCTTGGCTCACTGTAGCCTCTACTTCCTAGGCTCAAGCAATCCTTCTACCTCAGTCTCCTAAATAACTAGGACTACAGGTGCACACCACTACACCCAACTAATCCTTTTATTTTTTGTAGAGATGGGGTCTCCCTATGTTGCCCAGGCTAGTCTCGAAGTCCTGGGCTCAATTGATCCTCCCGCCTTGACCTCCCAAAGTGCTAGGATTTACAAGTATGAACCACCACACCCAGCCAAGAAATACTCTTAACACACCATCGCGTTTGAACTTCCCAGTCACCCCAATATCCAGAAGCAGTTCCTTTCTCCTGCATGATCTGCACTCTCTTCCTCATGTCTTTGACTCCATCTCCCACCAACTTCCTTTATGCTCCCTCCCCAAGCCACACCAGCCTCCTTGCTGCTGTTCAAACGCATCCATTACCCTGCCTCAGAGCCTCGGCCCTTGCTGCTCCCTCTGCCTGGAATGATCTTCTCTCGTATTTTCACCTTATTAAGACCTCCGTTCAGGCCGGGCGCGGTGGCTCACACCTGTAATCCCAGCACTTTGGGAGGCCGAGGCAGGCGGATCACGAGGTCAGGAGATCGAGACCATCTTGGCTAATATGGTGAAACCCTGTCTTTATAAAAATACAAAAAAAATTAGCCGGGCATGGTAGCGGGCGCCTGTAGTCCCAGCTACTCAGGAGGCTGAGGCAGGAGAACGGCATGAACCTGGGAGGCGGAGCTTGCAGTGAGCCGAGATGGCATCACTGCACTCCAGCCTGGGCAAGGAGCGAGACTCCGTTTCAAAAAAAAAAAGAAAAAAGACCTCGGTTCAAACCCACTTTATATAAAATAAGATCGCTGGAATGTACTTCAAAATAATTCACAGGAGAGGAGGGGGAAGTGAATAACAAAACAGGATTGGTTCAAATTGGTAATTGTTGAGGTTGGGTGATGGGTAATAGAGGTTCTTTATACTATTTATTTCTTATTTCTGGTTGAAATTTTCCTAAATACCAAAGTTTCTGGCTGGGCTCATACCTGTAATCCCAGAACTTTGGGAGGCCAAAGCTGGAGGATTGCTTGAGGCCAAGAGTTTGAGACCAGCCTGGGCAACATAGTGAGACTCTATCTCTACACAAATTTAAAAGTCAAATAAAGAAGTCTCTTTTAAAAACTCATGCTGTTACAGTATTCTCTATTTCTGCATAAGTTTAAATTTTCCCATAATAAAAATGTTTCAAACTCACCTTGTTATTCTCTCTACTTTCATGTATATGTGAAATCTTCCAAAATAAAAAGTTTTTAAAAAGAAAAAAATCTAGGCCGGGCATGGTGGCTCATGTCTGTAATCCTAGCACTTTGGGTGGCCGAGGCGGGTGGATCACCTGAGGTCAGGAGATCTAGACCAGCCTGACCAATATGGTGAAACCCCGTCTCTACTAAAAATACAAAAATTAGCCAGGCATGGTGGCACATGCCTATAGTCCCAGCTACTCAGGAGGCTGAGGCAGGAGAATCGCTTGAACCCAGGAGGCAGAGGTTGCAGTGAGCTGATCATGCCATTGCACTCTAGCCTGGGCAACAAGAATGAAACTCCGTCTCGAAAAAAGAAAAAGAAACAAATCTTATTAGAGACCTTCCCTATCCATCCTCATCAGTCTTCCCATCCCCGCCCTTCTCCATGCACACACCACTCTAACCCCTTCCCTTGCCTTTCCTCTTCTTAGCACTTATCACCACCCAACATGTTTATCTGCTTATTTTCTATCTCTACCAACTAAAATATCAGCTGCGTGAAAGCAAGGACCTTCTTTTCTTTCACTGCTAGATGTCTTTCACTGTTATGATTTCACAACAATCATAACATAAATGAATATTTATTGAGAGAATCCCATTTTATAGATTAGGAAACTGAGGTGCAGGCTGATTTAGCAACTTGCTCTAAGTTGCCCACCAAGTCAGTGGTGGGGCCAGAACTTAAATGCTGGTAGAGGCCCCTCTGTCCTCCAGGACCTAAGAGTCTAGTCCTCATTTTTACACGCACACACGTGCAGACACACACACATGCACACGATGTTGCTACCTGGTGGCACATGACCCAGAACCAGGAGAGCCACAAGGAGCAGAAGCAGCTGTGTCATGGCCATGGGGCTCCTGGGGAGGCTGCTGGAGAGAACACAAGAGAGATCCGAGCATGCTGAGCCTCGCTGCTTCCAGTCCAGCCTTTATTGAGCTGCGGATAAAGGCAGTGCTGTGGGCAGCAGGCCTAAGTGGGAGTATGAGGCCATGTAGTCCCCAGGCTGCTTGGGATCTCAGCCAGCTACGTGTGAACTGGTCAGCCACACCCTCCGGAGCCTGTTGAGCTCGGAAGCTGGGGGTAGAATTTCCTGAGGCATTGTCTAGGGTCAGAAACTAGACATCTTCCCCACCTAAGACAGTGGAAAAAACTTTGACTTAAGAGAGACCTAGTTCAATCCCCACATCTCCCCCTAACTGCTGTGAGACATCAGACAAGTCACTTAACCTCTCTGAGCCTCAGGCTGTTGTCTATGAAATGATGACTAGTATCCCTTACAAGGCCAAGTGACCAGCATGTGTGCAGGCCTACTCTAAAATGGGAAGAGTAATAGTACCCATGTCATAGACAGTAATAGCTACCTATCTCATTTAGGGGATTAAATGAAGTAATACAGTGGCTCCTATAGTGTGGTTCCCAGACCAGCAAGCAGCAGCAACACCTGGGACTTGTTAGAAATGCCAGTTCTTTAGCCCTACCCCGAACCTACTGAATTCACCTCTCTCTAAGCAGAGGAAGACCACAGGTCATGGAGCAGCCCATGGGTCACAGGTTAGATCACTGGTCACAAGTTAGACCACAGATTCACTAACACTGGTCACAAGTTAGCTCTCTGGTCATTTGTTAGATCACTAGTCACAGATGAGAGTATTGGTGGGTCCTGGCAAAATGTGGCTTAACAAGCCCTCCAGGTGGTTCTAACACACCACCAAAGTTTGAGAACCCCTGAGATAATATTCGTGCAGAGCTTAGAACAGTGTCTGGTACACAGGAATCTAAATTGCATCATGAAAGATGAGTAGGGGAAAAGGTATCCCAGGCAGAAAGAACAGAATGTGCCTAAAAGAGTGGGGCATGAGCCAAGCAAGGGTTTTCCTGGGAGGAGAGGTTGAAATGATTCTGCAGAGAATATGATGGGGCTTGAATGCCAAGTTCAGACTTTTGTATTATAGACAACCAAAAGTTTTTTAGCAAGAGTGTAAGCTGTTCAGATTACAGTTTTAAATAAAGGAACTGAAACCCAAAGAGGGGAGTTGACTTGCCTAAGGTCACACAGCAATTGTGCTGCAGAGATGGAACTAGAAGCCAAGTCACCTCACTCCCAGACTATGAAGGGTGCCGCACCACTCACGGCCCATCTTGCAAGTTAGAAAGGTAAGCTTAGAGGGCCACGCCACGGAAAGAAGCCAGGCACGAGGGGGTTCTGCATCAGCTCCAAGACCTGTGGGGGCTGAGCCAGTCTGTTCAGCTGCTGTGGGAGTTATTCCAAACTGTACACCTGAATCCCCTCAGCCATGACAATGAGCCCCACCCACAGGTGCAGCCTGGCCTCCATGGCTCCACACACGTACACACCCCAATTTCTCAAGACCTAAAGGGAGGCACCCCAGTCAAAGAGTCTGGATCCTGGCCCCTTGGATAGCCAACATCACCAGTGATCTCTTTCCTCCTCCTCTATACCTGGGAGCATTTATTTTTAAGCCATGAGTGATAGAAACAGTAGACAGAATGGCAGAGACCTCAGGCCCAGGCCCAGCTAAGCCTCAGTTGGTGAGTGAGTGAATGAATGAATGAATGATGCCAAAATAAGATTTTCAGAATTCTTCAGTGCAGACTTTCTGAGCTCTCTCTTCCTCCAAGCCACCTCCCAAAATTAATTCTTCATCCAGAGCAGTTTCTTAAAGTGAGGTCCATGAACCGTCTGCATCAGGATCACTTGGGGCGCTTGTTTAAAACGCAGATTCCTGAACCCCTCTCCCAGCACTGTGGAATCCGCCTCTCTTGGAAGGTGGGACCTGAATATTTAGCAAGTTCCCCAAGTGGTTTTTCTGGGGGCTAATGTGTTGGTGCATCCCCTACGCAGATGGAGCTCCAGACCCAGGAATCCAGAGCCCCCATCCTTCCTCTCTCGTCTGCCACCCTCACTCGGTGCATAGGGCTGGCAGAAGCGGGTCAGCTGAGCTCTGCACTTTCAGAAAAGTCACTGAGCGGCCAGGGCCTTAGGGCGGGGACCCCGGGGCTGCCCTAATGGGGCGGGGCTGGATGGGGCGGGGTCGCGGCTCCTCTCCCGGCCCAGGCGGCGAGGGGAGGGGAATTGGCCTGAGGGGCTGCGTGCGGAGGCGGGTGGTACAGCCTGGAGCATCCAGCCGCTGGAGCTGCGAGGGACCCTGGACCCCTCCCACGCCGAGGTAAAGCCCTGCGCTACGCGCGGCCAACTCGCTCAAGTTGGAGCAGAGTTCTCCAGGCGATTGAAGGGGGATTCGGCAGCGTTGGCAGGAGTAGGAGGGCTTTGAAACCGCGTCCCGAGGGTGAGGGTCTTCAGACCTGCGACCCGGAGGGCTGGATAGTCCTGGACAAAGACCCCTTCAACCCCAGGATGGGGGATTCACACCCAGGATGCCGGCTGGGAAAGCTCGGACCCAGACTCCAGGAATGGCACAGCGTTCCCGGGCCCTGTGGTCTGCCCTCCCCGTCCCCTGCCAGGACCCTGTCCTGTCACCTAACCTGGGGCCTGGCCGGCCGCAGCTCCCGTCCCCAAAAGCAGTTAGAGGCCGTAGCGTCAGCCGCTCCTGAATATTTCACACAGGGGGCGGGTCAGACACGCGGTTCCCATGGCACCAGGGCACTCGGGTTACAGTCGGGTTACCCCTATACCCCCCTCGCCCTTCTGTAGTTCCAACCCACCCTCCTGCCTCTTCCTCCTCAGACCCCGTGAAATTGGGCATCCAAAGTTAAGTAGCCCCTACCCTTGCAGTGGGGGGGACCTGAAACTGCACTCCCAGCCCAGAACCTGTGAAAGAGAGCGGTGGGGAAGGGGAGGAGGGGGACAATTTGGATGCCTTTCAGAGCCAGGGCCTCATGTTCTGTGGGAAGGGCAGGTCCGTGTGCACGGAATGGGGAGTGTGCATGTGAGGACATCCCACCTCACTACTGCCCCTCTGCCTGCCTGTCTGTCATCATCCTTAAGGCGAGGGAATGGCCTCTGGGTGTGTGTGTCTGTGTGTTCACAGCCTGCACACTCACTCCTTCCAGCCGCATCCAGGTTTACGCAGAGCCTGAGGCCAGAAAGCCTAGGGGCTTTCTGCCCCAAGAAGCTGAGGCACCTCCTACTCCCATCTGAACAAGAGGGGGATCTGGAAGAAGCCATCTCAGCAGTTCATCAGGACGCTATAGAAAGAAGCAGCCTAAAGCAATTGACTGACAACCAATTCCCCCTTCTTTCAGAAGGAAGGAAGGAAGAAGCAAAACCCCCTCTACCAAAGATGACACTCAACACCGGACAGGAAGCAAAGACCCCTCTGCACCGGCGAGCCAGCACCCCACTGCCCCTGTCCCCACGGGGCCGCCAGCCTGGCCTCCTGAGCACAGCGCCTTCCACTCAATCCCAGCATCCCCGGCTGGGTCAATCGGCCTCCCTCAACCCTCCCACCCAGAAACCTTCACCTGCCCCAGATGACTGGTCTTCTGAATCCAGCGACTCTGAAGGCTCCTGGGAGGCCCTCTACCGTGTGGTGCTACTTGGAGATCCTGGAGTGGGGAAGACCAGCCTGGCCAGCCTCTTTGCAGGGAAGCAAGAGAGGGACCTCTATGAACAGCTGGGAGGTAGGGGCCATATGGGCTGGGCTGGGATGTGGCCAAAGGAGCGAAAGCCCTGTCACCAGGGGCACAGGGCTGCCAAGAACAGTTGTACAAGTCATGCACTGTTCAACTCTAAGGGGCATCATTCACTTAGACTATGACATGAATGATGCCCCCTTGCCCTCCAAAGTTGTACATGGCACAGCCTGCACACTGGTCAAAGGGAGGGAAATTCTTGAATAGAACAAGAATTTTGCCAACTTCCCATGAACAAGAAGTATATGATTCATTTCCATGTCATATGGGTGGCAATTCTGAATTCTTCTGAATGAAGAAATGGTAGACTTCCACCCAGTTCAGAAACTCCCCTCCCCAACTCCTCTGACTCTCAGATTCTCCCAGTCCCATAGACACCCATCCATGGTCACCATGATCTACAGCAAAACTAAGATCCTTTGCAGAAGGGAGACTGCTAGACCCCAAGTTCTGGGCCCTGGGGTGCTTTATTCCCAAGAACTGCAGTGAGCTAAGAGTGTCAGGGGCCCCAGGGTGGTGGGATACAGGGAAGATAGAAGAGATGAAGGTAGGCCCCTGAACGACTGACCAGAAGGACATAGGGTGAGTGGGGGAAGGGGGTTGATTAAATGCAGAGAAAAGGTAGGGACATCTAGCCAGACCCTTCTCTAGTCTTGACTTCTCTCCCCCAGCCTCAAGAGTGAGAACCCGTATGTGTTACAGATAGGGAGACTGAGGTCAAGAGAGGATAACATGACCTGCCTGAAGCACGCGCTAAGTCAGACAGAGCAGGCCTGGGAGAATTCCTAGCCCAGCTTTAACCCCACCACCCCACCTTCATTCAATCAATCAAATCTTTCTGGCACTTACTATGCGCCAGGTACTATGGCACCTGGGGAGACATGGGTTCCTACCAGGAGAGACAGGCATCAAACAAGTGTGATAAGCGCTTCTGAGGACAAGTGGAGGGGGTGATGTGACCAGAAATGGGGGGTAGCGAACACCACACTCTCTCAGGCTTGCCCCTCCTCCCTGAGATCCAGCTCTTCCCTCGGTTGCAGAAGATGTATATGAGAGGACCCTCACGGTGGATGGAGAAGACACCACGCTGGTGGTCGTGGACACCTGGGAGGCCGAGAAACTGGTATGGCACTGCAAGCAGAATTTGGGGAGAGGGGTGCTGAGCCTAATATTAGACTCTTTCCTGTCCCGTCCTGGGACACTACAGATCAGGTGTGAGCAAGAGCCATC